CCCCATTCCCCAGGGAAGAGCGAATGATTCGCTGAGCGCTGCCTGAAGGTCGCGGCGGGGCCTCCAGCTGCTGCGCTTCCCTGCTCCGCCGCTGCCCCAGCGAAGGCCCCCAGGCGGTGCAAAGGCTCAGGGCCTGCGAGCGCGCTCTCCGGGACTCTGGGATGATTTCCAGTTGCCGGGAATCATGCCCTGGGCAGTCGCAGTGTTCACGTTCACATCGGGATCAGGAGGGATTGATAGGATGAAAGAATTCTTCAGATTGCAGGGATCTGGCAAGGGAAGACAATATGCGTGTGCCCGGAAGTATTACACACTTTTAAAAATTAAATAAACTAATCCAAGGCATGAAGTTTAAAAAGGTGAACATCACAGGGTGCGAGGAGCGGCCGTAGTGAGCCCCGGGCTCAGGCCAGCTCCAGGACGCTTCCTGCAGTCACACAGGCCAGCGAAGGGGAATCCCAGAAAAAACACGAGCGGCCAGTATCTGCGAGAAGACCCTCGAGTCTCACTAGTACCAGAGAATGGGAAGAAATCTCCAATTTGATTTATTGCATTAGCAAGAAGTAAAAAGAGCTGATCACCCAGGCTGGGCTAAGAGGTGACCGGCAGGGTGACCCCGCGCGCTGGGCATCGTGCCGCTTCCCCCGGCGCCACTTGCAGGCAGTCTGTGCATCGGAACGCGGAGGACTCCGGCGGCCCTCGAGAGGACGCCCTTGCTTCAGAAGAGCTGCCCTCAGGACGTTCTCTCCCTCTTCTCCTTCTTTTGGTCATCAAATAAAAATGTCCTGCTTGTCCTAAAACTGTTTGGTTATTTATGAGCAGTGTTGAATAAGAACAGAAACTGCAAATTTGGTAACACTCCCTGTTCCCAACTTTGGAAAAGGAGTCATTATTTGGTGTCATGAAAAGTTGCCTTAAGGAATCTAAGAAGCTCAAAACTTCAGGGGACTCATTTTAAGATATTCCCAGCCAAATGGAATGATCCAACCGAAGACATATTTACAACACTTGTTTCTGTATTAATGGGAGCTCAGGACAGAAATGGACTCAGACCCACTTAAATTAGTACAGGAGTTAATTCGGCTGCGGAAAATGCAATGGAGACCAGTCTCGGGGCTTCTGGAGCTGGAGCTCTCGTTTTGGGGTTCTGTTTACTGGCCTTATCTCTGTGCCAGTCTGCTAGTTTCATTCTGTCTGAGTCCAGAGGTACCAGAGAGGAGTTAGGAGAAGAGAGGACAACCATCAGCAGCAGCAAGACTCCAGGTGCCTCCACCTCCCACAGAGGCAAAACCTCCTGAGGGGGACTCTCACGGGGTCACGTGACTGTCTCCGCCACCCACAGTGGGTTTTGGTACTGTAAGAAAGAGGAAGGAGGGGGGCTGGGGAGATGGCTCAGTGGAATAAGTGCTTCCCTGGCAAGTGCAAGGGCCTGAGTTCAATCCCCAGTTCTGAAAAAAAAAAAGAAAAACGAAGAAGAACCGGTGGAAATAAAAAGCAGACATTACAGTCTACATAACTAGGATTTTAAAATGCATGTTTTATTTATTTATTTTTCTGTATTTTAGGGAAGGGTCTACAGGTGTTCAGGGTCTCACTACTAGATCGGACTCGTAGTGATCTGCCTGTTTACAGCCTCCCAGGAGCTGGGATTACAGGCCCGCGCCAC